TAGTTCGATTAACTCTGTTTCTCTTTTGCCTTTCCTCATCTTTTTCTTTCTATATCTTACTTTTATTTCTCAGCCTTTTTTTCTTTAGTCTCAATTTTTACTTACTATAATTTGTAGTTTAAGTGTGTTTTGAGACATAGGTCTTATTTATCAGGAAGGTAATTTGTCATCATATCTTAATTTTAAAAATATCATATGTCAGTATATTTATGTTTTGCTTTTTTGGGGGTCTATTTAAATGCTAAAAGTGGATTGTAACATTTTATCTGAGTGTGATCACATTATGATCACATTTTTCTGAATTTCTTTCAGGAAAAAACAAGTTAGTAGTGTGCTGCAACAAGTTCCTGGAAACACATGCTAAAACAAATTATATTGTCTTGTTACAAATCATCATAATTTATATTGGGACAACATATTCTTTTTTAATGTTTTTAATATTTATTTATTTATTTAATTCCATTTGTTATTATTATTTTTTAATTTGACCAGAGAGAGAAAGAAAGGGAAAGTGAGTAAGCAAGCTGCCAGGTCCACACTTGGCCATGTGAGAATCCAGCGCCTTTAACTACCACGCCACCTGCTGGCCCTAGGACAACATATTCTTTACTTACGTTTGTTTTTTTGTCTTGTTTCTTTTCTTTTTTAAGAGAGTTTTGTTTCTTTTTTTTTAAAAGAGAGTTTTGTTTTGTTTTGTTTTGCTCTAGGACGCATGCTCCCCAGAGATACAGAGAGAGACAGAGACAGAAAGCAAGAAATCAGCCCCCAGCAGGGATGGCCACACCACAGTCCCATCTCCTCCATTCTCCTCTTGGGATTTTGGGAACGCACGCACATGCACCTGGCGTAAGTTTTAAGCCACTGGGTCTGGGACTCAAACCATGGTTGACTACCTGAGAGTTCAGCAATGTAACCATTACATCATCTGCTGGTCACAGGACAAAATATTCTTAACGAAGGACTCAGAGTTAATTGTATTACATTTGATTTTTGCGATTTATTTATTTATGTAAGAAAGACTATAGAATCACTTACATATTTGGAAGTTTCACCAAAAAGTTGTGGTTTGAAAGTACTGGAGAATAGGAATCTCCTAAATCTTGTACAACTTTTTAAAAATCTCTTTATTTCTTTTATGTATTTAGTCTTAAAAAAGAGGATTAGCTCAAGGTGTGGTAGAAAGAAGAAAGGAAGATCAATGATATTTCTGTTGTTTGGGTATGGATTGTGTGTGTGTATGTGTGTGTGTGTGTGTGTGTGTGTGTGTGCGTGCGCATACGCTCATGCACTTCTGTGTGTTTCTTCAGAGCCCAGAGGACCTGGCTTTAGCTGGGGGACAGCTTGAAGATGGAAGAAAGAAAGATGATGGTGAGGATAGATAAGGTTTGTAGTGACCCCGGGTTGGACAGATGGGGACAGGTACATTGAGGGAGTTGCTGGCTGTTTGCCTCTGTCTTCTCTGTGAAATTGAGACAAAGTTGTCATGTGAAAGGCAGAAGAAGTGTTGTGGTGAGAACCTGAAGAGAGTGGTAGAAACACAGAGTATTTACAGAGGAGGAGAGCACAGGGGTTGGGGAGATTACTGAGCTAGCGCTGGAAGCCCAGCCACATCTGAGACTATGAATTCTTTATGTGTGGAAGAATTAGCTGAGGATATACCTGTATTAGAAATTGATTCTCTAGTCAGCTATTTTATTATACCTTTTTAAAAAATAATTATTAATAGGACCAGCAGTTAGTATAATGGCTATGTTGCTGGACTCCCATGTAGTTGACTGCGATTCGAGTTCCGGACCCGGTGGCTTAAACTCATGCTGGGTGTGTGTGCGTGCATGCCCAAGATCCCAAGAGGAGAATGGAGAAGGGATTGCAGTGTGGCCATCCCCCTGGGTGGTGATTTCTCGCTTTCTGTCTCTCTGTCACTCTCTTTCTGGCAAGTGCCTGCACCCTATAGCAAAAACCTCTCCAAAAAAAAAAAAAAAAAAAGATTATTAAATAAACGTACTTTTATGGGGCCCCCAGATGGCATGGGTATTGAGGCAGCTAGATCTCACATAGGCAACAGTGTGATTTGAGCCCCAGAGTTGGCAGCTTGAAAATCACTCCAGGCACCTGTGCATGTGTGCACAAAATCCCAAGAGGAGAATGGAGGAGAAGGGATTGGGGGTGGCCCTCCTTCTTGGGGGTGATTTCTGACTCTCTCTCTCTCACTTTCCCTCTCTGTCTCCAGAGGACACACACACATTACAACAAAGTAAAAAAACAACAAAGTAGTTTTCCCCCTTTGGGGACTAAATGTGATTGCAACATTCCTTAAGAGAATCTTTTAAGTTATACTTTATGTGACTTGCTTAGGTGAATCATGTAACACTTACTCGTGGTATTAGATTTCATAGGCGTTGCTTTGGTGAAGGAACAGATCACCAGCAAACACATGCCGTACGTTTTGTTTTTTGCTTTACCCGTACACAGGGGATTTTTCTGAAGAAAGCCAAGTTATTCTGTTGGTTAGCACGATTATGCAAACCAGTTGCTCAGTGACAAGTTAGCTCAATGGGGAGAAGCCATGCAATAATGCTGCCTCCATTGCATAAGTACGAGCGAGCTTACAGTAAGACAGGAGAAAGAGTGAAAAAAAAAACAGGAGAAAGAGTGGGTAACTCGTAAACTCCATATACTCCAAAACTAAGCAGTATTTATTCGTTGTCTGAGCTGGATACTTCAAAAAATAATGGAGAAAAAACTGATATAGACTCTATTTGAAGAAACATTTAGTCTATTAAAAATCGTCTAATATTTACAAACTGTACAAGAACTGTAAGAGATCATTAACTGAGGTGTCATTATATTTTCCAAATAGAAGCACTTCTTCACATTTCTGAAGGTGTTTTGATTATGGAGATTTGAATTCTATTTAAGCTTCAGTTCTTTTAAAAAAAAACAATTATTTATTTTACTTATTATTACTACTATAATTTTTTTTTTCTTTTTGATTTGACCAGAGAGAGAAGGCAAGCCACCAAGTCTGGGACTTGAACCATGGACGGCCATGTGGGAGTCCAGCATCTTAACCACCACACTGGCTCCAAATCTCCAGTTCTTTAAATAAAAATAAATCAGTTTGTTAAACCTATAAAATAAATCACTTTTTGTTTCATGAATAAATATTTTTTTCTTAAATATTGGAGTCTTTTTAAGTAATCAGCTTCAGCATATGAGAAAAAGAGAAAGATGACCTTTCTCACCCGCTGTGTTGTCATGCACGTGAAAGAAGATGCAGTGGATGGCCCAGACCTGCTTTTCTCATTCTTGAACTCCAGACAAATCTTTTTTTAGCCTCGTTGTACAATATTCCCCTGTAAGATAGGTATTGGGTTCCCCTTTTTAATCAACTAACTTTCTTTCTGTCTGTCTGTCTGTCTGCCTTTTTTCCTTCCTTCCTTCCTTTCAATTTGGTATAGGGCCCATGTGTTCTCTAGAGGCAGAGAAAGGGAAAGTGAGAAAGACTCCCTAGAGGGGAAGGCCATGCTGCAATCCCTTCTCCTCCATTTTCCTCTTGGGATTCAGGGCATGCTCACACATGCAACCAGTGTGTTGAGTTTCAAGCCACTGGGTCCAGGACTTGAGCTGTGCAGTCAGCCATGTGGAATCCAGCTGCCTTAACCACCATGCTACTGGCTGGCCTGAATTTCTTTTCCTTTTTTTCCAAAATTATCTGACGAGGCTAGGAAAGATTTGAATCTTTTAGGAAGGAGCAGATTGTAAAGTGTGGCAAGCACACATGGCTGGTGAATAGGAGCATGAGCAACCACTACGTGGATTAAAGTAGATGCATGAATGGTGATTTCTCATTCCGCTTGGCAGAAGTGGCTGAATGATTATATTTGGAGCATTACTTGAAATATATAGCTTTCGGCCTGTCCATTAGTGATGATGACTTTATGGCTTTTTGCTGGCTTCTCAAGAATTTGTCCTCTAGGGAACCAGCAGTTAGCGTAATGGCTATGTTGTTGGACTCCCACATAATCGACCGTGGTTCGTGTCCCGGACCCGGTGGCTTAGAACTCACGCCAGGCGCGTGTGCGTGCGTGCCCAAGATCCCGAGAGGAGAATGGAGGAGAAGGGATTGCAGTGTGACCATCCCTCCTGGGGGGTGATTTCTCGCTTTCTGTCTCTCTGTCTCTCTCTGTCTGGCGAGCGCACGCGCCCTATAGCAAAAACTTCTCCAAAAAAATTTAAAAAAAAAGAATTTCTCCTCTAATATATCATGAAAAATTCAGTGCAAAGAAGATCTTGTTGGAGCTAGTAATAGCTAAGAGTTAGTGAAGTAATTGTTTCTCTTATCTAGCCTTTTTTTGGCTCTGCAGCAATTCTTAGTTTTATGACCCACGTGTAGACTATTGGAAATTCTAGGCTGTCTTTCCTACACTATCCACCCTCTTCTCTCCTGCGTTTTTCTGTTGCCAAGCTTCTTGTGCCCAGAAAATATCAACAGATCAATTTTAGAGGGCAATTCTAGAATATAATTAAACATCTTAAGCATTTAAACCAGGTAGTAATGAATGGCTTTAAGATTGTTCAGTATTTAGTTAATGTCACTACCTTTTTTTTCTGCATCCAAGGAATATCTGCCATGTTCTTAGCCCTGTTCCTTGACTCATAAACTGTTTCATGTCTATTATTCGACTCTCCTCTATTTCAAATTGAGTTTTGGTGCCGACTACATTTTCTACATTTTCTTTACTAGCTATTAATCACTTTTGACCTGGACATAATAATCTAGATCCCCACCACTTCTGCCCTTGGATTGAAACAGTTTATCCATCCATCCATCACTACAGTAAACAGACACAACCCCCTCCTTCCTAGAGCCTATGCATCGTCTAGAAGAGTAGGGAGACAAGTAACCAGGCAGCTCCCATACATGTGGTACTGTTGGGAGGAGGCTAGGTTCGGAGGGCTCTAGGAGTATATAAGAGGGGCAGCAAACCTGGTGTTGAGAAATACGGGTTCTTGAAAATGGCAAGGTCTCAAGAAATTATAGAAACTATTCAATAGCTAACAAGAGAGGCAGAGAAGAAGTGTTCAGAGCACCAGAAGTGTTTTTAGTTAGCTAGGAAAAAGAAGTCTGCTTAAAACTGATTGTAAGAAGGAAATAGATGGACCAGCAGATGGTGTAATGTCTATGTCACTGGACTCCCACGTAGTCGACTGTGGTTCAAGTCCTGGACCCAACAGCTTAAAACTCACACCAGGTACGTGTGTGTGCATGCCCAAAATCCCAAGAGGAGAATGAAGGAGAAGGGATTATGGCATGGCCATCCCGCCTCGGGGTCATTTCTCTCTGTCTTTCCATCTCTCTGTCTTTCTCCAGTGAGCACATGTGTCCTATAGCAAAACAAAAAAAAAAAAAAAACCAACCAAACAAACAAAAACAAAAACAAAACAAAACAAAAATAATACTCTAAAAGAAAGGAAATAGAAAGAAAATGTGAAGGGGCTCTTTTCCTTCTCTTTTAGAGTTTATTTATTTCCTTCTTGAGATGGTGCGAGAGAGAGAAAAACAGACAAATGTGCAAACCCCTGACAGGATCTTCTTGCTGCTATCCTCCTTTGAGCCCTATAGTCAACCAGACTCATGAACACACCAGTGGGGCCCCTGCATATTCAGGTAGACCCAGGACCCAACCAGAGCCTTCCCGTGTGTCCTCCAGCATCACACAGCAGCACCCCTTCTCCCTGTACCACTGCAACAGGGCCTTCTGGTCGGGCCTGCCCTTCGTTCTCCATTCTCCATTCCCCTTCGCCACTCTGTTTTTCTCCACATGTTTATCACCATATGATAGACTTTGTATTTTGCATCTATATTTGTTTATTGCTTATCTTACTCTACCAATTATAAATGTAATGTGATTAGGGATTTTTAAACAGTTTTATTCACCACTGTAGCATCCAAAACTGCCTAGCACAGAGTAAATGTTTAGTAAATTTTTGTTAAAGAAATAAATCCTAGATCCATTTATTACTTAGTTATATCACTTTAGGCAGTTCACTTGACAATTCCTAGCCTTCACTTTCTTACTGGTTAAATAGTAAAAATATCTCCCCAGTGAATAATAAATGAGATAGTTGTGTAAAATAATCAGCACAATAAAATTCTACACATCTTTATGTGAAATATTGGGATCAGATATAGTTTGGAATTCAGAATTCTTCATATTTTAGAAAAGCAATAAGGAGAATATATTACACATTCTATACCCTCAGCAGGGTCTGGGGCAGCAGCACATAGCAGAACATTTTATAAATATTCACACTTAGGTGGGGTAAGTGGAGACTCTGTAGCAGCTTCACATCCATTTAGATCAGATTTTACCTCTAAAAAGTCAGGGTTTTTTGTAGTCAAAGTAGTTATAGAATAACTCACTTTTCAGAGCATTGTGGATATTGGAACCTGGATATGGACTGTGGACCTGTACCTAGCACACAGTAGGTGTTCTATCACCTGATTTCTAAACCTCTCTAGGCCAGTGAGTCCAGAAGGGAACGGCAGGGAACGTTCTCTGCTGTTTGCTGTAAGTCTCATGTGCCTACAGGGCTGTCTGGGAGCAGTAGCGGTAAATAAACACTACTGACTAGAGGAAATGCCGTGGGTTGGTTGGTTGGTTTGTTTCTTTTAATAAAAGTGCCTTGTATTAATGTTTTTAAGTATCTAAAATAAAAAAAATCCAATTTTTATTATTAATATAAATAAAACTGTATGACAGATTTTTATTGATGGGCGTATAAGAATGTTTCTACAGCCTTTTAGAACATCTTCGCTTTTTTACTCCCAGTTCATATAATACATGATGAGTACTTCCCCTATGAAAGGAGAGCTGGTGGCATGGTGGTAAAGGTGGCAGGATCCCTCATGGCCAGCTGTGTGGTTTGAGTCCTGGACCCCCTGTTTTGCCATGTGTACCCAAATCTGGAGAGGAGAATGGAGAAGAGACTGAGGGTGACCAGTTCCCCGTGGGGTGTGCTTTCTCACTTTCTTTCTCTTTCTCTGGCAAATGTACATACCCTATAGCAAAATGTAAAAACTAAATAGATAAAAGAAGAGCTAAGTCCACTCATTCCAGAAATATTTACTGAGAGTCTGTCGTGAGCCAAGCACGGTGATTAATGCATTCAACAGTAGAATACAATCACTTTTGTCTCTGAAAACTTGGGGTTGGTTTTGGCAGTTTTGCTGCTGGTGACCGGCTGTGCCTTATGCCATTCTACACGTTACTACCTCCGCCATCAAGTCAACCACACATGGAACACACCCGCAGTTGCAGATATTCTACAAAAGGTGTTTAAGATGTACCACGGGCTTTGTCAAAGCAGTTTTTATTAGGTCATGGGGAAACGCTGGCATCCAGAGGTACTTGGCGTTCTCTCCTCCGCTCATAATCTCTCTTTTCTATTCCTAACGGACTTTAAAGACTCCAGGCCTTAAATCTTTGTAAGTAATTCTTGAGAATATGCTCATCGCAATGAAAACTGGTGTAACAAACATTTTTGAGTGTCATGTGATTTTATCTGCTTTAGAGAATGACACAGATGAATTCTCTTTGGCATAACTGGACTGAATTAACTTACCTTGACATTTAAACCAAAGGATGCTGTAATTAGTTTACATGTTCTATACTTGGCTACTTGGTTAGCGTTGTTATACATTATGCAAGAACAAAGTTCTTAGAGCGTGTGCATATTCATTCTTGGCTGTGACATACATTAGATGAGAAATAGAATTCCTTTATCCACTTGAGAGTGTTTTAAAATTGTTCCTATCTTGTCGTTTTAGTATGTGCTCTGTCCTTCACCCACAGTGACAGACTTTGCTTTACTTCTCTGTACCTGTAGCCACTGCACTGAAGACATTGTCTTGGCATACTCTCCTTAGACTGGAAGACCAGGTCAGAGGAGTGGTCCACCCTCAAAAAAAGAGAATGAAGCAAACTGACCCTTAAAAGGGATAAGCCATCATTAGACTTTGAGAAAACAATCCACAGATAGTTTTTATACTATTCTTGTAAGTCATGAGTTAGAGCTATCACATAAAGTGCTATCGTGACATTTATGTTATAACACACTTTCTTGTTCACAGCATAAACAAATGTAAAAACTACTATGAAGTCCTTGGAGTTACGAAAGATGCTGGTGATGAAGATTTGAAAAAAGCTTACAGGAAGCTCGCTCTGAAGTTTCACCCAGACAAAAACCACGCACCTGGGGCCACAGATGCTTTTAAAAGTAAAGTAACCGTTTCGAAGCAATTTTACTACGCTCTTTTCCTCAGCCACTTTATTGTACAGTGTTTCCAAGTATTAAATTCTGCATTTGTACCAGTGCATTCAGAAACCAGCATAAGTAAAGGTCTGTGACATCTTTTAAAACTTCAGAATTAGGGCCAGCAGGTGGCTTGGTGTTTAAGGGTGCTGGACTCCCACATGGCCGATCGCAGTTTGATTTCCGGACCTGGCAGTTTGCTTGCTCTCTCTGTCTTTCTCTCTCTCTCTCTCCCCATCTCTGGGCAAACTAAAATAAATAAAGTAAAATAAAATAATTCTTAAAAAAAAAACCAACAACTTCAGAATTAACTTGTTATACCCACAGCTAAACAGATGCACTTGGGCTTCACAAAAGCAGGATGCCAGTTTTGGGACCAGCAGTTAGTGTAATGGCTATGTCTCTGGACTCCCATGTTGTCGACCGTGGTTTGATTCCCAGACCCGGTGGCTTAAACTCACACAGGGCGCATGTGCGTGCGTGCCCAAGATCCCAAGAGGAGAATGGAGGAGAAGGAATTGCGGTGTGGCCATCCCCCATGGGGGGTAATTTCTCACTTTCTAGCTCTCTGTCTCTTTCTGTCTTTCTGACAAGTGCAGCACCCTATAGCAAAGAAAAAAAAAAAAAAAGCAGGATGCCAGTTTTGACACAGCCTGAAGTAACTTTTCTAGGTATTCATGCGTGCTTTCTAGTTTGCCACAAACAAATTGTCACAAGTGGGATAATGACTCTTTGTGAACTTCTAGCATATTGCCATCTGGTTCCAAGTGAACTGAAAACAAAATGGAAGGTTTGGGGATTTTTAAAAATAATTATTTACTGGGGACCAGCAGTTAGCGTAATGGCTATGTTGCTGGATTCCCATGTAGTCGACCACTGTTCGTGTCCCGGACTCGGTGGCTTAAAACTCACGCCAGGCGCGTGTGCGTGCGTGCCCAAGATCCCGAGAGGAGAATGGAGGAGAAGGGATTGCAGCGTGGCCATCCCCCCTGGGGGGTGATTTCTCGCTTTCTGTCTCTCTGTCTCTGTCTGTCTGGCGAGCACACGTACCCTATAGCAAAAACCTCTCCAAAAAAAAAAAAAAGGTTAAAAAATAATTATTTACTTACTTTTATTATTACTATTATTAATTTACTATAGGGTGCATGCGCTCACCAGAGTGAGACAGGGACGGACAAGAAAAGTGAGAAAGCAAGCAGCCAGGTCCAGGACTTGAACTACAGTTGGCCATGTGGGAGTCCAGTGCGTTAACCACATGCTAGCCCCTCAAAACAGAGTTCTTAATACACCAGAGACTATCTAGAGTTGGAGTATTAGAATGCATAGCTATCTCTTCAGTGTCCTTACATTTGTATTAAATTGGCCAATTTTTACATTTTTATATGTAGTTCTAACCAATGTGATTTTTTTTTCTTTTAAAAATTAGTTTCTTTCCACTTGCCTAATACTTATTTTTTTCTCAGGGTGCTTTCAATTTCTTGCCAATTTAGTAAAGAGATGTCAAAGAAATTATTTCTTAATTTCTTATTTTCTTAAATATAACTTATTTGTAATAGTACATGTCTGATTCATAGTGAAATGCTTAAATTTGTGATTGTTCATTCTCATGAATTTGGCATTCAAGACCCAGTGTATAAAATTTACAGTAAAATGTTGCAGTCTTGGAATAACATGAAGGAGATACTTATTTTCAAAATGTTCCCAAAAGACGACTCAATTGGTCTTCTATAAAAATGCTGTGAAGATTGTTTTGAGGGAGCAACAGGTGGTGTGGTGGTTAAAGTGCTGGACTCCCACATGGCCAGCCACGGTTTAGGTGCTGGGCCTGGCAGCTTGCTTTCTCACTTTCCCTCCCTCTCTCTGTCAACTCTAGTCAAATTTTAAAAACAATATTGATGGGACCAACAGATGACATAATGGACTCCCACATAGTTGAACACGTATGGAGTCCCAGACCTGGTGGCTTAAAATTCACACCAGGCGCATGTGCATGCATGCCCAAGATCCCAAGAGGAGAATGGAGGAGAAGGGATTGTGGTGTGGCCATCCCCCCCAAGGGGTGCTTTCTCACTTTTTCTCTCTTGTGAGTGCCTGCACTCTCTGATAAATTAGAGAAAAAAGAAATAGAGAGAGGTAGGAAGGAAAGAAGGAAATACAGGGAAGTTAGTTTATTCAAAGGACTGGCTCTATGGCCTGGTGGCTAAAGCAACAGATCCCATTTGACCAACTCTTCAGTTCAAGTCCTGGCCCTGGTGGCTTGAGAGATAAACTGGGCAGATTTATGCATGTGTTTTCTTTCTCTCTGTGTCTCTTCTGTTTCTCATGCACCCTCTAGCAAAATCATTTTTAAAATGTTACTATACTCAGAAATTCTAACTTAAAAATCACATTTCTGAAAAATATATCCAGAACATAGTGCAATCATTTTCTGGCCTTCAAATGCACACCTTCCATTATTAAACAAAAATAACCCAGACAGTGGCACATAGGTTAATTTCTACTTGTATAGTATACACAAAGTTGGGAAATTTCTGATGAAATTTTCAAATAGAAAAAATGTTTTATTGCTGGAGCCTAATTTCTTTTAAACAAACTCACAATGCTTTTTATATATGGAGTCACAAGAGTGCCTTGAAAAAGCAGCTGAAATCTTTAAACAGCTAATTAATATATATTCCCTGCAAAGTTAAAAAATTCCACATTATGAGTTAAAAGCATTTAATTTAAAATGTCAGTTTTTAAAAATATTTTGGCAGTGAGTTATTTGTATATTTGTGATCTGCTATGTGATTTCAATATTAAATCTTCATTAACATGAAGAATGTTAAATTATCAATATGTCTTTCTCCCATCTTGTATTGAAATCACATTACCATTATTGGTCTAGGCATAGCACTAAGTGGATGTGCTGTTTCTACAGTGTGTTACATTTTGAACAGGGGAGCAACATAAATGTCACTCAGTAAGCCAGCTAGTGGTTGGCCATTGGTGCGGTACATTTCAGAGTTTAATGCTCTACTTTGCAAAACTAGAAACTTAGTATTTATTGCCATGCCAGGAGGTGATTCATCTCTAGGGGAGAGGCTCATATTATAATAATACACAGGAGGCTCTCCGTAAATCAGAATGCCAATTTATTAGTCCCAGAGTGGATCAGAAGAGGGAGGTGGTGGGTGAGCCCATCTTTCATTGAATGGAAACTGCATAGAACCTCAGTTGTGATCCACAGATGCTTGGGCCAAAGGTAGCTTATTAGAAAATATTACAGTAAGTAATCTCCATCACATGGAGATGGCAGGTTTCATTCATTTAACACCCAGGCTCGTGTCATTACCTTCTGAATCATCGGATTTTATTTTTAACTATTGGTCTTAACTTCCATTTTTGGAATTCTAAGCTGTTTATTTCTAAGCAAAGACAATGCTTTTGTCTTTTATATAAAAGCTAAAGTATAGATTGGTAGCTCTATAATTACCGAGACACTTGTTATAGAACATGGAAAGCACTCGCTTTTTATTTTCTTCAGAAATAGAAGAAGGACAGTTAATTGGTTTAGGGAATTAAATTAGATAGAAGAGGTGTTTTCACTTGTTTTGTAAAGCTTTCGAAATAGAAGATTATTCTCAGGAAGAGTGTACTAAAGGAACTCTTGAAAGTTCATGTGGCTGCTTTGTCGTTCCAGTTAGCAGTGTAAGCTTCTCAAGCAAAAATTCTGGGTTGTCAGGAAAGTCATGACATATTTTGCATAGACAAATGTAGAAAAATATGTCATGACTTATCTGATGACCTAATATTTTATTTACATATAGAATGACATATTCAGTATATGTACACATCTTTTTAAAATGTGGTATCAAAATAGAAATTGACAACAAAAAACAGTAGGAAAACATAGAATTACTTGGAAACTGAACAGCAGATGAATAAATAATCTGTGGGTCAAAGAAAAAGTTTTAAAATAAATTTTTTAAAAATTGACCTAAATACAAATAAAAATGCAGCTTGTCAGAATTTGAGAGGACCAGCTAAAAGCAGTGCTGCAGGGACATTTATGACACTAACTGCCTTGTGTGCTAGAAGAGAGAGGACCAGCCCAAGACCTAGTGCTTAAGAGATCTGGGTCCCATGTGGCTGCCCATGATTTAAAGCTAATACCCTGTCGGAAACCAGCAGTTAGCATAATGGCTATGTCACTGGACTCCCGCGTAGTCTACCGCAATTCTCGTCCCGGACCTGGTGGTTTAAAACTCACGCCGGGCGTGTGTGCGTGCGTGCGTGCGTGCGTGTGGGTCAGTACATTCTCACTGAAATAGCGAAGTCATGGCTGCATCTTAGAGTCACGGATCTCTCTGAGCGTGTGAAGAAAGTTGAGAAACATCTCAGGTAGATGGGCCACCCATCGAATTTCACACAACAGAATTTGCAGACCAGTTGTACGCTATCCCCCAGTTCCAGTTTAGGAAGCCCTTCAGAAGCAAACCTCCAGAGTATCTGTGTAAAATTCACTTCCGCGTGAATCAGCTGTCCAATGACCATCGTATTTGCTTGGTCAGTACTTAACAGCAGCCACCACATGGAATCCAAAAAGTATTTTTAAAATAGCCTGTATTTCCAAAGGCTTGCAGCTAGTTTAAGAAGCAAACTATGTTTATGAATTATTTATTAGGAGTGTCAAAATAAGAATACGGTAGTTCCTGCCTTTAGATTCAGAGCATTACAGCTTCCTCTTAACTGCCTTCAGAAGACATTCTGGTAACATACCATTGCCTCTTTTGGACATGGGACTGTGAAGTGGGAAATAGAAGAATTCTTTATTTATAAATAAATATGAAATCAAAATGGGATAGAAAGGCTAAGGGACTGTGTGCATTGATTCAGAAACGTTTTTGACTTTATGGTGGACCCTAGGGATATTACAGTGAAAACAGACAAGTTCCTTACCTCATGGCATTTACTATTTTAAATTGTTCAGAAATATAATGAAAGAATACTTCACTCTGGGCACCAGAGCACAAAAAAAGATTTATGAAGACTCTACCTTCAGCAAGTTACTTAAGTTTTTTGAGCCTTGGTCCTCATCTGTGAAGTGGATAAAATGGATACTATAATAGAGTATTGAGTGTGGAGCTTAGCAGTTAATAGGTGCTCAAAAAATGATCGCTTTTGCTATTGTTATTCATTTGAATGACCTTGATGAATGTTTAGATTAGAGTACTCAAAAAGGAAGAGGAAGGACTCTAGGGATGAAGCACGATATTAAGAAAGGGAAGTGGACAATTCTGTTTCCAAGGCACTGCAGAGACTTCTAACTGGTATGAAAGGTCGTATTCATGTTTTACGGTTTTCTTCACTAATTTTAAGTAGCTTTCTCTGGTAACACTGTAGTAGTTTTCATGTGCCCCAGTGTTTTATAATGGAAAACCTTTGCTTACCAACTGTCGCTCACGACTTTTTCAGAGATTGGAAACGCTTATGCTGTTTTAAGCAATCCAGAAAAACGGAAACAGTATGACCTCACGGGCAGTGAAGAGCAAGCTTGCAATCACCAAAACAACGGCAGGTTCAATTTCCACAGAGGCTGCGAAGCAGACATCACTCCGGAAGACTTGTTTAATATATTTTTTGGAGGCGGTTTCCCTTCAGGTAAGTTAGTGTTAATTATAAATTTTTTATTTTACGAAGCTAGAGGTCTTTACCTCCAGTTGGTGATTTAGAGATTTAGCTCGGTTCTGTCCTGTAGTTTCTGTAGCCTTGTAATCTTGTGGTCTCACAGTGTGATGATTTTCATGAGGGCAGGAGAGAAATAGTAGGTTTACTTTCAGTTTAGCTTGCCGTTTTTCCTAGAACATATTTTAATTTAAGAAAATAAAAGGTAGCTATATTTCATATTTTCTATAAAGCTGAAGAAAAGGTGTACAAGCTGGACATCCAGGGGCAGTATCTTCGGTGAGTACTAACAATCACGGGATGTATCTTAAACCCTTGATGACTATTGGACATTAGTTCTCTGGAGATCTTAGTTTATTAAAATATTACAGAGTGCTAATGCATGTGGCAGTCCTCATCTGTATTTCGTTTTCAATAAAAAGAGTCTGGTTCATAGGTATTATAGAAATTGTCCAGTTTTTCTTTTTTTGTCACAGGGCACATGCACTTTCCAGAGACAGAGACAGTGAGAGGGAAAGTGAGAAAACCCCCCTCTCCCGGGGAATGGCATACCACGGTCTCTTCCCCATTCTCCTGCTGGGATTCTGGGCACGCATGCACACGCATACATGTGAGATTTTCAAGCTGCTGGATCAGGGACTCAGACTACAGTCGGCCACATGGGAGTCCAGCACCTTAACCACTACCCCACCTGCTGGCTCCGTTGAGTTTTTTAAATTGCATTAAAATCGAAATAGCTACTCGAACCAAACTATCAAAGTTAAATATTGAAGTGATATTACAAACCAAATTTTACAGCAGTAACATAAGTAGTAGTTAACTCTACTTAAGACTTGCTGTGAGTCATTTGTTAAGAAATGTATCTTCTTAGAGACCTGCTCCTCTAAGGTGCTTAAAATGATAGCTCCAGTCTTGTTTACCACGTTTACTTAAGGGGCTGAGTTAAACATTCTTTTCAAAATCGGGAGAATCATTATAAATGTAGCAGTGTAATTTTGCCAGGTGGCCCTCTAAGAATGTTATTGATAAAAATTCTGGTCATTGATAGAACATTTTGCTAAGCATTCTTGAAGGAAAGAGGCTGTGTAGATATAAATTATTGACTGAATATGCTAGGAACAGTAAGAGGTCCTTTGGGTAATTGTGTATTTTCTTCTGATAATCGTTTGCAGTTCTTTTGCTAGTTACAATGTAGTTCACTTTGCCAATGATAGCAGTTTCTAATTATGCAGCTTATTTTAAAACCATTTCAATGTTCATCTGCAAGGAATTGTTTTAGTAAACCGTGGTCTACCACCATCATGGTAAATTATAGTTATTTTTGAAAAAAAAAATGGAGTGCTATCTTTTGACTTCTCAATAAGTTCATGATTCATTGATAAATGTAGAGAGCAGAGTTTCAGAGTAGTCTTCCAAAGCTTGTGAAAACAAGCATCCACAACAAAATCCTCTATGTGTGTAGTTGTTGGGGAACTCTTACTTGGGTTTTCTTTTCTTTTTTTTTTTGTCTATTAATGACAATGTTTATGGAAGTTTCTTTGACTGGACTAACATACAGGGTATTTATGCTGAGAAAATTCATTTTTAATTTTGTACAGATATACAGTGTTTGAATATAAAAAGTTAGAAAAAGTACAATAAAATAAAGCATATCATTCTGAAGTTCATGTTTGAGAGAGGACTCTGTAATGACCAGAAAAATAGTGCCAGTTTTAGTACCAAAAGTTAGAATTATGTTAACAATGAGGTTGACTCTACACAGTTTTACTTGGGTTTTCATAAAGAAGAAATTTCTACCTTACTTTAAAGAAGGCAGAGTCTGGGAGGAGTCATTTCTGTTCCTGTCTATCCTTCACTCATAAGAAGAGAGGGCAATAACCATTTAGCCCCCAAAATAATCATGCATTATTTTAGTAATTTAAAACCATTAAAGAAAAATGAAAAAGAAAATCTGATTTTTCTGATCATAACTGTTGTCCTTAATTTAAGCTTCCTTTTTAATTTTCTAGGTAGTGTACATTCTTTTTCAAATGGACGAGCTGGTTACAGCCATCAACATCAGCATCGACACAGTGGGCATGAAAGAGAAGAGGAAAGAGGAGATGTATGTTTATGATATGGTTACCAATCACAGCAGGGCAGGATGCAGCTCAAGAAAGGCAATTAGAGTTGTCTGGAAACAGGGCAAGTTATTTTAGGAAGAAATGACTTTGCCCTTACCAGAGGTGTTCAATAGAGACTAGAAAATCCCTTAAAGATATTGTAGGAATAAGGTTAATAGGCGGGGTGGGGAGGGTTGGGCAGTAACCCCCTAAGTCTGGTATGCTATGAGTCTAGTGAAGACACAGCTACACCATGCATGTTTTGCTGAGAAACTTGATTTGTAAGTAACTTTACTTGTTTCGATGCAGTTACACCTAGTAACTATAGCAATTAAATTACATGGTGTGGAGGGGTTTTAATGGAAAGAGCTCTAGACTAGAAATGAAAAGACCTGGGCCTAAGCTCTGCCACTCATCAGCCCCCTGATGTCCCCCCTCAAATCCAAGGTAAAAATAGTTTTGCAAACTGTAACATGAGAGTCTCTGTGTGTGAAAGAATGAGATAAATGAGGATTTCTTCATCTGATCAAATTATATCCATGTTTTTGAAATTAAAATCTCTGGATGATATGCCTGTAAAGTTGTATTTTCAAGAATCACCCTGGAAAGTGGATATGATCAAGCAGATTGAAAGGCCTGAACTAGATGGTCTCAGATGTTCTTTCTGCCTCTAAACATGCATGATAGTTGTTGGGTCGTTGACAAGTACACTTACAGTTTGTTATTCTTTGATGATTTCTCTTATAGGGAGGTTTTTCTGTGTTTATCCAGCTGATGCCCATTATTGTATTGATCCTCGTGTCATTATTAAGCCAGCTGATGGTCTCTAATCCTCCCTACTCCTTATACCCCAGATCGTAAGTAGCTAAGTGAAGTTTTACAAAAATTGTTTCTTACTAGCTGCCTTTTATTTTATTTTAAATATATTTTTAATAATTATTTTATTTTACTTTATTTATTTATTATTTTATTTTAATTTGACCAAAGAAGGACAGAGTGAGAGAGAGAGGGAAAGTGAGAAAGGAAGCCACCAAGTCCAGGACCTGAACCATGGTCGGCCAGGTGGGAGTCCAGCACCCTTAACCACCACACCACTTGCCAGACCCACTAGCTGCCTTTTAAAGAGTCTTGTGTTCTTTTAAACTTAAATATCAAATCTGTTACTATAAGTATACTAGATGTTAAAAATGACTTACTTTTAAAAGTTACTTAAGTAATGAATTTGTATTACGTTATCAGTTTACATCTCTGCTCAACTGTGGATGGGGCGGAAGTGCTATATTTTGAACTTGGTAGCAATTGAATGTGGTAGGTAATATGTTGACATTAAAGGCAAAAAATAAATTAAGAGACAAAAGTTCTCTAAAGACAAAAAGGATAGTAATTGATCTTACATAGATTCATGTCATTAAGGTGGAAATGACTTTTCTCCTTTGTAAAATATTGATTAAATAAAAGCAAATAGGACTTTTGTTATATAAAGTATTTTTCCACTCTACATAAGATGTCAGAGCATAAAGGAAAGTTAATTCAGCATTTATTCTAGACAAGTTTAGTGTATTACCAGGAACACAGGAAACTAAAATCCTATTGGCAGTGATTTAACTGAATTAAAAATTGCTTGGTCTAAAAATAAGAATTAACTTAGTTCTTCCAAATAAGACTTTTATTAACTAAAAATTGAGAGAGTTTTGTAAGTACATAGTATATTAAAAATGAAATTACTTTTTTATAATATGAAATTGTTGTTTTAGACAATTTTAGAGAATATAAATAATTACCAATTTTAACTTTTTAATTATTGTTACTGATGATTTTGTTAGCTTGATTTGTAATAGCAGGTTATAATGTCCAATTTGAATTTAAAAATAATGATCATGTGTCTTTTACAGTGGATCAGGGCAAACTATTAAAATGCAGACAGAAAACTTGGGCGTTGTTTATTATGTCAACAAGGACTTTAAAAATGAATATAAAGGAATGTTGTTACAAAAAGTAGAAAAGAGTGTGGAAGAAGATTATGTGACTAATATTCGAAATAATTGCTGGAAAGAACGACAACAAAGTAAGTTTATCAAAACAGTTTAACACTTATTCAGTGTTTGGGATTGTTACTGTAGATTTCTTCTACTCAAGGAATACTTTGGAATTCCCGAGCACATAATCACAGTGACAGCTAAACACAACATGTGATTCTGGACTGGCTCCTGACCAGAGTCTATACAGGATGTCATTCGGACAGTTGGTGAAACCTGAGTGTAGACTCTGTTAGATAAGGGTGCTGGGGGACCAGCAGTTGGCGTAATGGCTATGTCGTTGGATTCCCATGTAGTCGACTGTGGTTTGAGTCCCAGATCCGGTAGCTTAAACTCATGCCAGGTGCATGTGCGTACATGCCCAAGATCCTGAGAGGAGAATGGAGGAGAAGGGATTGCGGCATGGCCATTCCCCCAGGGGGTGATTTCTCACTTTCTGTCTCTCTGTCTTTCTGGAAGTGCACACACCCTATAGCAAAAACCTCTCTGGGGAGAAAAAAAAAAAAAAGATAACAGTGCTATATCATTGTTAAATTTCTGAGTTTGTAGTTACATCACGGTTATATAAGAGAGCACCCTTGCTCTTAGGAGAAATATGCTGGTGTAATATTTATGTCGCTGGACTCTCACATAGTCGATCACAGTTTGAGTCCTGGACCCAGCGGCTTAAAACTCACACCGGGCAGGCACGCACATGCCCAGCACATGTGTGCCCAAGATCCCGAGAGGAGAATGGAGAAAAAGGGATTGCAGTGTGGCCATCCCCCCTGGGAGGTGATTTCTTGCTTTCTATCTCTCTGTCTCTTGGGCAAGTGCACGTGCCCTGTACGAAAAAAAAACCTCTCAATAAAAAGAAATATGCTGAAGTAATTAGAAATTAAAGGTCATCATATATGAGACTTGTTCTCAAAGGGATCTGGAAAAGAACCACAATAGCAGTAACAGCCTTCAGCTTAGAGAGATCTAAAGCAAATATGACCAAATGTAAAGAATCATTTGATCAAGGCAAAGAATTTTAGGGTGCTCATTGTACCACCCTTTAAAATATATATATAATATTATATATATATATTTT